TGGACTAATATTTTCCTTGTATCCTTTTCTCTTCATTCTCCCTTGCTCCCGAAGGGATGAGACCAGTGGAGTATCTTAGATGGCTGCTCACAGGCATTTAAGAGCATTGGGTCCTCTTGATGGTGCTGTAGGCCCCCAAACAATGCCAGAGCCAATCTCATCTTCCTGCGCTCCCCCTCTGAAGAGGCAGCATAGCACAGTGGTTAGGAGTGTGGACCCTGGAGCTAGACTGCCTGAGTTTGAATCCCAGCTCCACCACTTATCAGCAGAGTTATTTAACCTGTTTGTGTCTCAGTTTCCTAATCTGTAAAATTGGGACAATAATAGCACCCACCTCACACACTTGTCATAGGAATTAAATGAGTTATTATGGAAGAAGCACTTGAATAGTGTTCAGTAGTATACAGTAAGCCTTCAACAAATGTTATCCATTATAGTTTAAGTTCAGAAAATCCAAAATGCCCTGAAAACCAAAAGTTTTTTTGTAACACATTTGGCTAGAAAACCCAACCTGAACTGATATGGGCCTATTTACAGTCTTTATTTATCTCACTTGGTGTGAATATGCATGCATTTCATTGTAGAAATATTAATTTACTTGATTACCCCACTCCTACTGGGGGTGTTAGATAATACAGGGCCTGCAAACCATACACGCACACCGCACACTGTTCTTCTAAAATCTACACGTGGCATTTGTTTTCATGCCTCTCTACCATTGCACCAACAGCTCCTTCCACCTGAGCTTCCTTTCCCTGCTTTGAACCCTTCCATATTCTGGTCAGAACTCACCATTCCCACGGAACATTCACACCCTCTCCTGGAAGAGAACCATAATTGTGTGTTTTATCAATTCTAAAACCTGCGTTTTCTTCATATTTTAACATCTCTGAAATGAAAGGGAATCTTACCTGATTCATAAAATGATGTATCATTTAATTAGCAGCAGTTTTTCCTTTCTTTGTAAAGGGTACATAAGCTAAGGGTGCAGCTTAGGTTTCGACAAGATATAGTACTCATAACCACTCAACATTGCTTCGTGTCCGAACTAAAAACAAAAAAAGCTTTCACATCCATGATCTTGTTGAATCTTCCCAACATCCTCTGTCAAGCTGGAATTATTGTCATTGTCCCATTCTACAGATAAGAAAATGGAGCCCCAGAGAAGTGTAATAACTTTCTCAGAGTCACAAAGCTAGTAACCCAAACCAAACCTATTGCCGTCGAGTCAGTTCTGACTCAGTGCCACTACAGGACAGGGTAGAACTGCCTCCGTAGGGTTTCCAAGGCTGTAAATCTTTACGGAAGCAGACTGCCACATCTTTCTCCCACAAAGCTAGTAAAGTGGGTTAAAAATAAAGGCCCAAGAGTCTAAAACTGGTGCTCTGCCAGACCTGTTGGATTTTTTTTTGGCTGAGGAAACAGGCACAGAGAGTGAACGCGTCAGGATTCCATGTCCAGAAGGGAGCAGAGCAACAACCTGACTCCAAGTCTTCTGGTTCTTGCTCACTTCAGCACCCTTTCCAGGCTGCCAGCTTCTACCCTATCAATCTTCCCCAGTGACTCTAGAGAGCTTCTAGGGAGTGGGGACATGGACTGATTTGTTCCCAAGTTTTCAGGGTGGACTAGCCATTATAGAGTGGAACTGAACAGAAGACAGAAGGAACAGTTTGTGCCCTGGAGGGCTTGCAGTGTGACTTACTCCTGGTGAGACTCAAGCAAGTAGGGGCAGAACAGGCGGAAAGATGGAGACCGGGGAGGGAGGCAGGGCATTCCTTCTGGGGTGGGGGTGGGGGAGCAACATTAAAAACGTCTCAGACCCCACCCAGTACGCTCATGGTCACATGAGAGGCTGGCCTTTGGTGCTTAATTAGAGGTGGCCAGCTGCTGGAGCAGGGTGGGAATTGGGAGGTTCAGGAAGGCTGCACAGAGAAGTAGCATCTGTTTGGGCTCTCGCTTTGGGGCAGAGTGCATGCTCTCCAGGAGGTGCAGGGAGAGTGACCTTGACATAACCCTCAAGATGCTGCTGTGGCTCCTGTTGCATCCCTCGGGAGAAAGTCCCCACACTTCAACCTGGTATCAAAGCCCTTTTATGATCAGCAGCTTGCTTTAAATGGTGTATCTCTTTTCCGTTCCCTCCCGAACTCTAAGCATTTTATGATCTACAACTTGCACTATGGGTGTCTGAGTCCATCTCTCTCTGTCTGTCATTAGACTGTGACCCCTGAGTGCAGGACCTGGCCTGGTCCCTTTGTCTCCCCCACTAGACTGACACTCAGGATTGGGACCAGGCTAGTGTAGGCCTCAAAAATCTACTGAATGGATGAGTGAATGAATGAACAAAAATTTGGGGCATGGGGGAGCCAGGATCCTCAAGGAATGGAGCTAGAGTGGGGCAGCGAGCAGTGTGTCCCGAGGGCTAAGTCTTGGTTTTATAAAGGTGCCGTTGATCAGCATTTGGCATGGAACAGAGGCTGGAGGTGATGATGTAAGAGGCAGAGAGGAGACAGGATACAACTGGCCATCCTGGCTAGAGAAAATGGAGGATGGTCAAGACTGGAAAACAGGAAGAGCATCATCACTGGTGGGCACGAGGGTACACTAGGAAGGATCCGGGTGGGTCTTAGGTTTGCAGACAGTGTCGGAAGTGGGGTGGTAGTCGGCGGTGGGTCTCCAACAAAGGGAGAGAGAAGAAGAAATGGGGGAGGGGAGATAGTTGCCTGTAACACACCACTTCGACAGAGGACAGGTTGCTGGGCTAGAAAGCATAATACCAATAAGTAACATTTTTGAGCGTCTACTGTGTGTGTGTAGTGTTCTGGCCCTGGTCTGTAAGGAGTGGACAGAAAAGTAGCAGGAAAACTAGGACAGGAAAAATAGGACCAGATAGCCTAGACTGAGAAGGAGCGGCCTCACTGGAGAAGGACAGGGATTACCAGAACGCTGTAGGAAGAGGGGCCATGAGGAATGGAGGAGAGATTTGTCAGGGTGGGCTGGTGATCCATGGACAGCATTTGGGAGGCAAGGACAGGTTGGGACTAGGATGGTGGAGTGGCTTCATGTTTACTAGGACGGCTGGGGATCCAGGTGGGGAAGAGGAGTTTTGGGAGCAGATGCCTATTGCTGTCTTAAATGCTAGCTGTTGGCACTGAACAGCCTCAAGACTGAGGGAGGGGCACTCCTGCTACTCTGGTCTCTTGTGTATTTCATTTCCTGGCCTTGTCACTCTGTCCCTCTCGAAGTTTGTGGCCTCAGCTTCTCTCCTGGGGGTCTCAAACTCTCTTGAGGGTCTTGGTCTTCTCTCTGGACCTGGGTCTTCCATGCTAAGATTCTGTCTCTGTCTCTCTTTTTCTGAATCTCTTTCTCACTGGTTCAGTCTCTCTTTTCCCACCCTCCCAGATCTCTTTCTCCCCTCCCTTTCTGGGCCTCTCCTCCTGTCCACACTGCTCTGTGCTGGCTCTCACTTGCCTTGGATCAGCTGGTCTCTCTCTTTTTCCCCACTCCCCTCCTCCTTTTCTGCCCTTGCTCTGGGTATCTCTCACTGTCTTGGAATGGGTCTCTCTTTTGTATTCTTACTCTAGACCTTGCTCTCACTCTTGCTGTCTCTCGTATACACTCTGTTGCACGCTGGCTCTTTCGCATTCTGTCATTCTCTCTGTTGGTGTCTCTCTCTGGGTCCTTCTTGCTTCGCCCCAAGGGCACAGGAGGCTCTGGGGATCCCTAGGCAGTTCTGGCTGGGCGCAGGAGGAGGAGCTTTCTTTTACTCAAACTTGACCTTTTGGCCAGCCTTCACCAGCTATTCAGAGACTCCCCATTACGGCCAGGAGGCCTGAGGAGTGGGCAGGTGGGTGGGTCCGGCCCCATGAGAAGGGCTCATTCCAGAGCCTGACAGACCCTCTGTGTCACTGCCCCCCTTGTGTCCATGTCTGCCAGCTTGTTCTCTTCCCAGGTTGGGGGAGTGGCAGGCTGGGGGATGGGAGCTGTGCTAGCCTTTCTGAGCCTTTAAGGACAATCTCCCTTTTCCCCATGGCCCTTTCCCCAGATCATTACCTCAGAAGAGGCGGAGCGGCGGGGCCAGATCTACGACCGCCAGGGTGCCACCTACCTCTTCGACCTAGACTATGTGGAGGATGTGTATACCGTGGATGCCGCCTACTACGGCAACATTTCCCACTTTGTCAACCACAGTGTGGGTACTCCAGCAGGTGGGCAGGTGGGCTGGGAGGGGCAGGCCAGGGCCCCTCCTCACCTTCCTGCTGTTCTTTCTTGCCCAGTGTGACCCCAACCTGCAGGTGTACAATGTCTTCATAGACAACCTTGATGAGCGGCTGCCACGCATCGCTTTTTTTGCCACAAGGACCATCCGGGCAGGCGAGGAGCTCACCTTTGATTACAACATGCAAGGTGGGGGTGGCAAGGGATGGGGCAAGGGTACACAGTGGCATGGGGCAGGAGGCCCCCTCCCCAAGGCACACCAGTACCTCAGAGAACCAAGGGAAATGCTTTAGCTGGAGCATTAAAATACTTTTCCTGAACTCCCAGTCTCCCATCTGGACTCCTGGACCCCTGCCCATCTCTTGGGGCCTCCTCATTCCCAGTCCCTAGACACCAACCCTGAGACACTCATACCAACTTCTCCCAAGGCTCCTGTGGGAGGATGTTGGGCTAAAGAATCAAGACAGTCCTCCTGACTCTAGTCATCTGTTTCAATGTCCCTGGTCCCAACCCCTCCCCACTCCTAACCTGCTTTGGCCTTCCTCATTCCAAGCATCTGGTCACTCTTGTGGCCTCCAAGCAGCCCCCTTCCTGATAAACTAACTACCCCTGAGACACTCAAGGGAGGATCTTTGGTAGGAGAGTTAAAATACCTGGTTGGCCCTCCATTCCTGACCCCTGCCTGACACGACCCTCCTGGTTTCTACCTGATGGACCCTGCCACCCCCTACAACCCCTGCCCCCTGGCCTTTTCCTAACACATGTACACCCTTCCATTGCTGAGGCCTGGCCCTAGCCCCAAACCACTAACCTTAAGACCCCCTCCTAACCCAAATCCCAGCCCTCAAGATCTCTGGGTCTTATGGTGAAAGGGAAGCGGGAAGCTTCATCCAGGCCTTCTAACAAGTCCCCTCCCTCCTGCCCTCCTCCTCTCCCTGGCTGTGACTCCACAGTGGACCCCGTGGACATGGAGAGCACCCGCATGGACTCCAACTTTGGCCTGGCTGGGCTCCCTGGCTCCCCAAAGAAGCGGGTCCGTATTGAATGCAAGTGTGGGACTGAATCCTGCCGCAAATACCTCTTCTAACCCTTAGAAGTCTGAGACCAGACTGACTGTGGGGGCCTGATACTGCCCACCCACCCACTGCTGCCCTCCTGTCAGAGGAATGACTGCCAGGGCATCCTGCCTGTTGCCACCTGCCCCCACATGCTCCATGCTCAGGGCTGCGGGGCTGCGGTGAGGACTGACTCCAGGAGTCCCCTCTCCCTGTCCCAGCCCCATCTGTGGGCTGCACTTACAAACCCTTTGCCCACCTTCAGAAGTCATTTTCCTACATCAGGACTTTCTGCAGTCGAGATCTATGGCTTATCGAGGAGACCCAAGGGGTGAGTCCCAGCCCAGCCCCAGAACTGAAAAATGTTTGTTTTTGCACCTGCTTCTGCCTGGAGCTTGAGGGGTCTGTTGCAGGCCTCCTCCCTACTGCCCCAAGGGTGTGGGGAGACAACCCCAGGGCAGGCAGACCTGGTCAGAGCCCAGAGTTCCCAGAGCTACCCACTGTTCTCTGGGGCCAGGAACTGCTAGTGAAAGAAAACAGATCCCCAGGACTGGGGCTGAGGCTGGCTTCTGCTCATGCTCACAGTGATGCTAGTGTTAGCCCTGGAAGCTGTAGGAATGCTTCTTCAGGGCCACCTCATCTGAGATGTAGACACCCACCTGCCACTGGACTGAGGACTGGATGCCCATGACCCACTGACCAGTGCTGGGAAGGCAGTCCCAACTTTGCTGTCCTCTGAGGTGGGGCTGGGACTGAGCTCTGCCTTCAGGGAGTTCAGAGAAGGCCCCTGGGGATCTCAGGAGCTCTGAGGGTGCTGGGAGCCCAGACCTGTGGTGTGATGACTGCTGGGTCTATTTGAAGCTGGAACCAAGACCTAGGTAGGCCATAGATAGCACTTAGGACAATAATGTGCATTGGTGGAGTGCTTGTGAGTGCCAGGCACTGGGCAGAGCACCTGATCCACGTGGATTGTCTCAGGGAAGCCTTGAAAACCACAAGAGTTGGATCCCAGGAAAGGGCCCATTTGGCAGAAGGTGAAGGACAGGCCAAGAATGGGGGGGGGGGTATGGCTTACCCCCTAGGGTATAGTGAGGTGAGAGGGACACCTTGCTGCCTGCCAGCCCCAGACCCCAGACCTTGACACTCACTCTGGGCCCACTGCCTGCAAATGTACAAAAGGTGAAGGTTCTGATGGCTGCCTTGCCCCTTGCTTCCCCCCATGAGGCTTTCTCTAGGAAGCCTTCCAGAACTACCTGTGCCCAGAGTGCCCCTGTGTGAGGCTGTTTGCCCTCCTTCCAGGTGCCAGATCTGTGTCTGTGTGTCTGTCCTCCCCCCTGCTCCCCGCAAGACTGACCTTCAGGCATGGACTGAATCTGGTTCTCCTCTTGTATAGCCCTTGGCCCTCCCAGCCTGGAGTGGGCATCAATAAAGTGAATTATTGATTGAACAAACCAAGATGTGGGGTATTGAGTACCTTGTGTAGGTGGGGCTTGGGGGATGAGAGGCTGGGCTCTGCGGTTGCCCAAGAATATGTTCCCCAAACCTCAGCCATTTGGTAAAAATCCTCATGGTTTCTGCCACCGTTGCATACCACTTGTACCACCATCTACATCACATCTTGACCTAAAACTTGCATAAAGCTTTATTTTAAAAGCTTAAATTTAAAAATGCACTGAAAAAGCAGACTACATCTCTGTCTAAATGGAAAAACCATTTTCATTTGCCACAAACAAAAATAACCAGAAAAATACAGTGGAAATACAGAAATGTGATAAAATTCTAGCTGGGGCTTCCTGGCTCTTAAGAGGCCCTGAACCCAAAGCCTGCCTACTGCATTCAAAGAAAGAAGTTTGTGCATGCTGGGGGAAGCTTTCTGCAGATATTTAGTGAGCACCTACGTGTGCCAGGGTGTACAACAGAGAACAGAGACATGCCATTTCACATACACTGACTTGTTTTCCATCACCCCTCAGCCTGACTGTGAGCCAGTGCTCTGGGTTTTTGCTCCGAGACCTCGCATGCTGTGACAGATACCCGGATGTCTCACAGACCTCAGAGGTGGCAGAATCTC